TAATACTACTATTGAAGAGTTTTACATTAGGAAGCACTATACACAATGAATAGTGAGTAAATCATATAAGTAATCTTGATACCTGATGAGCCTAAATTATACTTGTTTTTATACAAGATTTAATGATCAAATTCTTCCATTCTTTGTATCATTGCATTTTAATTGTTCTCATTTTGGTTTCTTTTGTATATGCAGGTATTCAAGTAGAGAATTGAGGATAAAAAGGCCATTGGAGTGGAAACTCAAAGAATTAAGGAGCAGAGAAGGCTACCGCGCTGAGCGCGCCAGAACACGCGCCGAGCGGGCACAAAACAGAGAGAACTCTCAGCCTTTGGAGCTTCACGCTGAGCGCGCAAGTAAAACGCGCTGAGCGCGCTCGAGGCCGAGAGCAATTGGAGCATCAGGGAAAGCACCCGCGCTGAGCGCGCAGCTTAACGCGCTGAGCGCGTAAAACCTAATCTGTCTCCCCAAATGCGTATAAAAGGCAAATTTTGAGGGTTTTCTCCCTCATTCACTCAGGGGCGCCTCCAGGAGCTGTGGAAGGGATTCCCAGAGCTTGGGAACGGCCATGGTGGATCATTCCTTCGGTTCTTCCTTTCCTCTTCCATCTCTATTTTATTTTTCCCCTCTTTGTTTTGAGAGGTTCTATCCTTTGTATTGGGGTTTTGATGTAACCAACAAACTTTATTGTAATCCTTTTGTGTTAATGATATATATATGTTTTGTTTCATTCTTTGTTGTGTATGATTCCATGCTTAATGCTTGCTTTGGCTTGATCACCCTTTGCATGATTTAAGGTTTCATTGAGTATTGGGAAATATCCTTGAAACTAGTTCTGAACATATGCCTAGTGGGAATTGTACCTAGGGATAGGGCTTGACCCATTAGTAGTCTTAAAACCCTAACCGGTAATGCGGGTGGAGGTATTGAGTACTCAAGGGATTGATATTCAATATTTTGCACCTAGGCTCTTTCTCTAAGGAATTAGGTCTGAGTAAATTTATGGTTGACTGAACAATGAATGTAACAAGAGACATAGGATTCACTAGTGTTTGTTTGGTGAAATCAAACCCCCACAACTTCAAGTGTCCATTTTACCATTTCTCACCCCATTTCATTTCTAATTCATTTATTTGTGTTTTAACAATTCCAGTAGTTTTGTTCTTAAATTCATATTCATATTTATTGGGATTGTTCTCAAGTCACAAGTAGCCAATGAATGCTTAGTTTACCTTCTAATCCCTGTGGATACGATATTTTTACTACTTGTACGGCCGGTACACTTGTCGTGTTTGAGTCCGTTGAGGGAAGTAACCTAATCTATAATTATAATAAAAAGTACTTCAACGGAAATCTCAGCAATACCACAATAACCTAAAATCTTAAGGCATTAAGTAGGCAGATTTTTCTCACTTATATACTACTCAACATATATTCAACTTCAACTAATGTAAAACTCACTTCATACTTGAATTCTAACAAATTGATGATTAACATCCATTTAGTACTTTTATACCAAATAACATTACTCATACATCAAAAACTTACACCTTAAATAACATTACTCATGTGAAAGATATGTATGATATAAAATTGCATAATAATTGTTATAAATAATTTATTTGAAATTGTAATTAACATTTTAGATTTTATATGGACTTATTTTATAAAATATATGGACTTATTTAACCCTATCCGATTCACTATTTTTAATATATTTTTAATATTCATATATTTTGTTTATATTTTACAAGTTTAGCTCGACCAATGGGGCCATGTAAATTGTCCATTTTTTTCTCTCTAAACTTTACATTCTGAACCTAATTATGGGTTGTTCAAACTATTACTTTACATTTAATTTGTCATCTCTAATTATTAAAATAATTTTTTTATTATTAGAGAATATTTATTAAAAATTAAAAAAGTTTATAATATATTTCTTATTTAATGAATCTTATTCATAATCTTATAATTTTTAATAACTTTCATTTAAAATTATTTTTGTTCATTTTCATTGATGTTTAAGTTTTTTTACACATAAAATAAGAATTATAATTAATATTTTAGATTTAACAACGATCATTATACAATTTTCTAATAAAGAATTGACAATAATTAATATTTTATTTCCTTTTTATTTATTTTTTATTTTTATATTTTCGCTCTACAATAATAAATACAGGTATTTAAATATATAATAATTGATTGATATTTTAAAATGACAACAAATTGGGACAGCATTTTTTTTGTTGCTAAATTGTCAAATAAAATGGAACAAAAAGAGTAGTTGATAGTGTATTAGAAAACATGTTAGTAGTACCAATCATTGCTTAATTATTTTTCATTTTCATTGGACACCACAATAAAAATGATGTTATTAATCACAAAATCAAACTATTATTAATGTGAAGAATGCTACCAACACATATTTTTAATACACTTTTTATTAGTTAAATTAAAATTTCGAAATCATAGGTAAAATAATTAAATAAAAAATAAGATAACAAATATTATATATTTTCTAATGAAATTTAACTAATAATAATACCTTATTAAAAGAAACTAATAATAAAATAGCCAACAAGAGACGTTAAAGTTACCTATAGAACAGAGATATATCTAAAATGGACAGGCAATCAATCTAGCTATAGCTATAAAAGAACCTATACGAACACAGGAAATAATAATATGGTGATTAGTTATGACACCTACAAATGTGCTGTATCCATAAGTTGACAAATAAGTAATGAATGGTTTTATCCGAAAATTCATCCTTATCACCATGAATACAAGAACCCTAATAAAAATACAAACACGTAAATTATTTACACAAATTAATTAGCACGAATATGGACAAGAAACCTATCTATCTAGTAGCTAGCTATAATACTATAAGAACAAATATAATTAAGATTCCAAGATTCGCAATCAAAATGTAACCGAAGTGTCCAACTATCTGCCTGTACTTTGAAATGTGGGCAAGTATAACAATTTTGCTTAGATTAATATGATATCGAGCTATGATAGGAAATTAATGCTACTGTCGTCTTAAATAAGCGTAAATCACAAACTTTTTTTTAACTGTAATTCTAATATAAAGACTTTATGTTATTTATATATCATCGTTTAATATTTAATAATTTGCAAAAATATATAATTATCAAGGCATGATTTAAAAATATATGCAGAATTTCAGTGTATCAAATAATATGTTTTTAAAACAAAGTATTCACTATCAATAACAATAATTAATCTCTATTAGAGATTGTTAATGTATTTTAAGTGAATGTTTTTCTTCCCACATAATATGTGATTTTGGGTTGATAAAGAAAAAGATGAAAGAAAGAATAAAGAGGAGGATGGAGGAAAAAATGAAGAGAACTAAGAATATCTCCGACGGAAATTGCTTAAAAATAAAATATTATTTTTTTATGTCATGATTTGGAATTATTTAAAGTTAAAGAGAATTACTTATATAAACAACTATTTTTTTTGTGAATTGATTAGCATTTGTATGTGTAGATATAAGAAAAAGAATATTAGATATTGAAAAGAGAAAATATATTTCCAAGTTAAGTATTTTTTAATATAAACGAAAATTATAGGAGTTGTTTAAAATTAAGGTCACATGAATAAATTCACTTAAAGAAATAAAATGAGTTACTTGCTTTTAAATAGCATTGAAACTTGAGAAAAAGATACGGAGAGAGAAACATAAGGGAAAGAAGAGGAGAGAAAGAGTGAAGAGGACAGAAAGAGTGGGAGAGAGAGGGGGGACAGAGAGAGAGAGAAAAGAGGGAAGAAAGAAAGAAAAGAGAGGAAGAGAAGGGGAGAGAGAATGAGAAAAGGAGAAAGGGAGACAAAAAGTGAGAGAATAAATATAAATTTGGGACTATAAAGAGAAAATAAGTATGGAAAATTTTAAAATTGTTTACAAAATTTGAAATTATACTGTTTGAAATAATTAAAATACTTTCATAAATCATTAAAATTTTAACTTATTTTTAAATTCTTTGTCCAAACCAAATATTTTAACACAAGGCATTTTAAATTCACAAAAAACGAATAAAAATAAACTATCCTTTTAAAATTTCTCATCTAAAAACTGCATTGAAGGATCATCACTTATCCTTAGTAATATCAAATTGTTTGATACACATTAAGGGGGCACAACCAGAAAAAAGGAAGACATTATAATAGATTTGAATCTTATGTGCACTTCATCCAATAAAATCTTATTCTTAACTGAAAGTAACAAAGCAAATTTAAATGATAAAGAAAGTAAGACGTTTTCATGACTGAGCTTTTCACTTTTCCCTGCAGAAGATTCAAATAAAAATTCCATTAGAAAATTCATTTCCTACTATGACCATTAAGTTTGCCACACTAGGTTTACTTCCTAAATTTTGAAAACATGGGACAATTGTCGCGTGCTCAAATTCTGCTCCTGCATTATATAATATTTGTATCTAGAATTGCATTTCGTTCTTCCTATGTAACATTGTATTATCATAATATGAAATCGAACTAAGCTTGGAAAAATTACAAATGCTATAAAAAATCAAAGAAAAGATAATTAACTATACATTTTTCTTCAAATATATGTAAATCGTCTACCACGGATCCAGGATTCCTTTCTAAATGATTTTTTTGTTGCAAAATTAAATATTTGGGTACTTCAGACGAACCAAGAAAGATTCCCCAAAAACCAAGAAATAACGAAACATTTTTTAACGGAGCACCATCTTGGTAAACACTAGACAATAAAACTTACAACAAATACTGTTTTCTAATGCTTGAGAAAGGAATGTAGCCTAGCTTGAGATACATGAAAGTGCTTGTAGCCTAGATAGCGAGCCTTCAGTACCCTAACATAATGTATAGTCACCTTTACAAACCACTTGAAAAATTGACAAGGCGGTCTACAAAAAAAGATGCAACACCTCCAGCTGAGGCAATTCACCAAATAAGGAAATGTTAATATAATATAGCATGTAATGATCCTGCAAATATGCTCGAATGAGATTTAAAATTGATGAAAAAAAAAACATTGTCGATTATAAATTAACCAGCTCACAGCTCAACAACACTACAAACACAAACAACTGAAAGGAAGCATATGAATTACACAAATCAAAGCATTAAAATAAAACTTTACATATTACCATCCGTGTATATTAAATTTCATTAGACACTGATTTCTTGAACATAATAAAGTCAGTAGACAAGCAAGAGAAAATAACAGAGGGCTGTAAATATTGAAAAGCTAGGATAAACAGTCCAAATGTCCAAGGAGCTCAACCACGTCAAAAAGTTCTAGTGGCCGTATTTCTGAAACTCCCACTCACTGTTATCTGCACAAGCACAGAAATACAAGTCAGAAGTGCACTTCTTAATCCATAAGCTGCCATAAGAACAGGATGAAAGGAATTAGGCACTCATACCTAGAGGACAAACTTGACGGGTCTTTAGCCATCGACTAATGCAATGGAAGTGAAAAGCATGGTTACAAACTCCTGTATAAAATGTAAGCCAGTGCAACAGGTTGAGTAACGAGCACAAACTATCCAGAATAGTAACATAAGCCTTCTTAATTAAAGAATGACCTACAAACACTTCTTTGAAGTCCCAACTGATCAAAAGAATTTATCCTAAACTGAAGGGCACAATATTTTTACTCATGAAGAAAAGCATTATATTTTATTCCCAAATACACCAAAAACAAAAATGAGTTGACACAATTTGGGGCAATCTAGCAATATCAAAATCTTTGTGGAGTGTTAGATAAAGGAAAAGTTAAAATAGTAATGATATTTTTCATTTCATTGTTGATACGAAACAGAATGTAAGGGGAGCATTTTATAGAAGCTACCCCTCTTGGTACAGCTGTAAGATAGATTTACTAAATCAAAAAAGGAGACAGGTGGCATACAACACACCTTCAGGAATATTCTGTTTGTTATAACAGAATTAAAAGAAAAATGCAGAACAGAAAAGACACACGCAAGTAAAAAACAATATTTACACACTAATATGGAGACGTAAGGAATATTTACAGTTATGCAAAATTGTTCCTATGCAAGGATATTTTTTAAGTAACAAATAAAATCATGATCAAATGCATTTGTACAACTCTAATGATAGGGGAAATAACTTGCAGTAATGAATAAACAAGTTTAGAATTAGCAATTTGTTTGGTATGTCATTCTAGAAGGGAAAGGAAAGGAAATATAATGTTGATAAACATCATCCCTAGTTTGGTATCAAGGGTGGAAAAGGGGAGATTAGAATGAAAAAAAAAACCAACTAGTCCCACAATTTCTCATCCATCACATTTTGGGAGGAGTACAAAGGGAGGAAAATGAAGTGGGAACATGTTTCTTATCCATCTCAATGTTACTAAAAAGTATTTCCATTATTTTCATTATGAAACCAAACAAAGGAAGGGAAGCATCATTTATTTCCATTATAGAAAAAAACAACAGAAATAATAGCTCTTTCACTTCTCTCTTTCTTTCCTTTCTATTTTTAGTAAGTATTCCTTCTTTCCTTTCCCTCCTTTGCACCAAAAACCCAGAGGTCATCTCATAAATTATAATAGTTGATTCACATAGTTTAAACCATAACTTCAAGGGTCAAGACAGAGCAATTAAATTTAAATATTGCAGGTATTTGAATAGAAGAGTGGCCCTATTATGGTACCATTCAAACTTTAAAGTTATAATCTAATAGACTCATGAACAGAATGATATAGGATCTCGATACTACAATAGTCTTTAAGGTACACAAGACTGAAATATATCCTACATAAAATATATAATGTGATTTGCAATAACTGTTAGTATCCCCATTAACTCTAAAGAGAAACATATGTGGGTTAGTGTTTAGCTTTTGGCTGATTTTTGTAAAAATCATGTTGCTATGTTCAAGGTTGAACTTTATAAAAAAGTTATTTCCTTATCAAATCATTAACTACTTGATCACATATGATGATGCTTGATCCCATTATGGTGCAAGGTTATCACTAAGGTTATACGGCGGATGGCGGCAAGGACCTTTAACTGCCATACTGCCATGGCGGACAAAAAAAAAAAAATATATATATATATATATATATAATATGATGTAAGAACAGAAAAATAACAAACACATATTAAAACCAACAATATAACAATCTAAAATTCATGGCATTCATTATCTAGTGATAGTCATCATAAAAAAAACATAAATTCCTAACCAACAAAAGGATTAAATAGCCATCAAAACAAAGATATAATGTTAAAAACTAGCAAACACAGCGACAATTCCTAAAACTATTTTGTTTAATCCTCTTCATCCTCATCGATGTCTACATAATTAATTTCCACATGATGATGTTGCTCATTTCAAAATCCTTCCTTCTTCTCCATCTGATTGTATGAGGAAGAAGATGCAGTCACGCGGAGGGAAAAAGTAAGAATCGCCCGCGGAGAAGAATCACGTTTGCGAGGGAGAATTGGAGAAGAAAATCGCGTCAGATGCGACGGTGTCAGCCGCATCGGAGGCAACGGTGGTGGCCGTGTCGAAGGTGACAGTGGCGAAGGGTCTTGTCAGAGCAGGTGCTTGTTGCACGAAGGAGAGGGCTATGCAAATTAGGGTTTCTGCGGCAACCCTATTTTGCACAATTAAGCTAATGGATCACCCAACCCGATATAGAAACCCGGGCCCAAACTGAAAAAAAAAAAAAAAAAAAAAGGCCCAAAATGGCCCCATGGCCCTGCAATGCCG